ATGCCCGTCTGCCTTTGCCCGCCCACACCGGGAGGCTGAGTCTCTGGCCAAGCCAAAGCCGAACCGCTTGGTGCAGATGGAGGGGGCGTGGCTCGGGGCTTGTATAACTGTAGTAATTCAACTGTGAACCTAGAAACTTACAGCCACTTGTGAAAGAGATGTACTCTTCCTCTGGAGTGTGTTACTGAATATGTTGACAGCTGTAATGAAATGCTTCTTCTAATCAAATAGTTATTAAAAATTAAAAAAAAATACTGATAAAAAAAGAGAGAACGAAAGACTCTAAATGCTGAAGAGGATGTGGGATATAGGAACACTCATTCCCTGCTGGTGGGAATGAAAACTTGTGAAACCACTATGGAAAGCAGAACTCTCAACTCTCAAGAAACTAAAAATGAGCCTACCATATGATCCAGTGATACCACTCCTTGGCATGTACTCAAAGGACTCATTCTATTGCAGAGATTCCTGAATATCCATGTTTGTTGCTGCTCTCTTCACAACAGCTAAGCAATGGAAATAACCTAAATGTCCCTCAACTGACAAATGGGTAATTAAAATGTGGTACATCTACACAATGGAGTTCTACTCAGCTGTAAGAAAAGATGAAATTATGAAATTTGCAGGTAAATGCAAGAAACCAGAGTGTTATACTAAGTAACACAAATGCAGAAAAGAAAGTGACTTATGTCCTCCCTCATTTGCCGATTGTAACACCAATCCTTTGTATGTGAGTATATATATTGTGATGTAACACCAGGAACCAAGAAAATGGAAAAGTTACATGGAGGTAAAGGAAAAGAAAGAACCTGAATGGAGGATAGTAGGGAATCGATATCACCAGTGGGGAGGTGGTAAAAGTGGAAGTATTCGGCAGAGAGGAGAGGTGAGAGGGACATGCAAGGGGCCATGTTGTGTTGGGGGAGGGAAGTCAGGAGAGGGAGGATGGTGGGAAGTGGGTGTTATTGGAGGAAGAGTGGGGAGAATTATGGCTGGGACTAGGGAGGAAGCAGGGATAACAGATGGGAGAAAAAAGGGTAGAGATGATTGAATCTTGGGAGGCTAGAAAACCTAGAGGAAAATACAATGCCCTCGGAAACCAGATGAGAAATGCACATACACTGTCTGAACATTAGCACATATAACTGCTTGGCAAGGAACAGAGTACCAGACAGAAGAGACCTCCCTTTGAGTGGTTGGTGAGCATGGTCCAGGAGACTCCCAAAATAACACAGGCTACTGCCAAGCCTCTTGGTTGTCTCCCAGAACTAGTAGAGAAGACCCTGCTGTTGAGGAAAGGACATACTTGGGGTACAAGATTTGAAACAATGGGGTGGGAACTGACCTGGAAGTCTTCTCTTCCAACAGAAGTTTGGCTATCATAACACTAGATGATGATAGGCAAACTGGCAAGAGAGAATAAGAATAAATTGTCCATCCCAGCCCTGAAGCCTAATAACCAAGGCAACCAGCTGGAAAACTACCTGTATTGGTGCTGTTATCTGGGGGACAATCAACAGCTATCTGATTGCAGGTAAAGCCCTCTGGATGGGAGGGAACTCATGGGTACCCCTGTAAACACAGCGAAATACATATGGCAGGAAAGGTCATCAATCCTGGAGAAAATCCTATCTCTTTCATATCTCAAGACAAAAGAAACTTCTTACTATATGCTAAATATTGATCCTTATATTTCTAGACAAGACAAGCCTGCCCTACAGCACTTATCAAGAAGCTTCTTTTTGCAACAGATGGAGACTACTGCAGGGTCGCACACCTGGTCAGGCAAGGAGAACATACACCTGGGAGATGCCCAGTACTAGGTGACACATCTGCAGT